TATATTATATTTAATATTTACTTATAAATACATATTCTATTGTCACATAAATAACTATAACATTGAGTTTAAAATATTATATTTTATATAAAATTAGATATTAAAGTTTTCGCAGTTATTGTATTGAGTGTAATATAAATTTTAAAAATAACTTTCTAACATTTAAAAATTTTGTTCTTACAAGGACATTAATGTTAATTTGTATTATAGTTACAAAAATAACAAATTTTATAGATCATTATATTTATGGGCCGATAATACAATAATTATAAATACAATTAATACTCAAAATGACATTAATGGTCTCCAATTAGATTTAAATAACTTTTATAATTATTGCATTAAAAATAAAGTTTAGTTAAACGAAACAAAATCTTATCATTTAAGAGTACCACTGAAAACATGTAATTAAACGAATTATACTATTAATAATATAAATTATAGATAAAAACAAAAACTTTATAGACATTAAATGTAACAAATTATCCAAATTTTGTAAAACATTAAAATAATATTTTGTTATGAATACAAGTTTTGTATTTTATTGCTTAATGCTAAATAAAATTATTATTATTTATAATATGTTTTTTAAAATTACATTTGATTTCTTGTAAAGTCTTAAATATTGGTCAATTTTTATAATAATTATAATACTAAGATAACATAAAATTTAAAATTTTTAAATCCTTAATTAAATTTAATAAATATAATTTATATTTTTTATTTAATACTTTGTTGTTTATCTTTCATAATATAAGATTACATAATTATTAATTAATTTAATATATAAATTAATATAAAATTACAATTTATTGTTAAATTTATTGATTAACTGCGAGATATTGTTGAGCACCGGATAATCAGCGAGAAATCTATGTTTGAGATCAATATAACTTTTATATCTCATCTCTGCTTTAATCTGAAAACATAAAAATATGTTTAAAAATTATAATAAAAATTAAATCATATTATTAAATAATAAAATTAACAAAAATTACCATCATTTCGGGACTGTCAGCAGTGGTGACACAATCCATACAATACAGTATATCCTTGATATAAGCCAATAGTGCCAACAGTTTAGTCTCTTTAATGATTACATGGCGTGAATTGATCTCTAATTTTGCGTAAGAATTGCCATAAATATCACACATTTTCTCGATATAGGCGTCAATGAATGGCCACATCTGGCGATCGGACGGGAAGTCTCCGGCGCCGAAATCGGTGTCCAATTGACCGAATCGACTGAAATACTGCCCAAAATCGAGGCCCCGATAGTTATAGTTAGACCAATCAAAGTCTATGAGGTATATATTGGCCATAGGGTGACCATTACTATCGGTATTATCAGCGGCAGAACCGGTGGTGTTATTATTATCACGCGTTTCGCGGATCAGTATATTTCTGCGGTTAAAGTCGTTGTGCGAGAAGACAATCGGACTCTGGAGGTCGCGGACAGCCCTCTGGAACCACTCGGTCTCCGTCACAAAATCGTGTCGCAAAAATGTGGCACAATTTGCGCCCACAATGTGTTTCCGGACGGCACCCGACCGGACAGATGCCCGGAATTTGTCGTCAAACCATTTGTCAAATATATTACTCCGCGTGAGTTCTGCGCTATTCTTCGGCACCGGAACTGTTAACGAGTGAAATGTCGCCAATTTTTGGGCTAATTTTGTGACGATTTTTGGGTTCAGGTAGTCGTCGGCGTTGAAATGTCGGCTCTAATCATATTTTAAAATTGAAAAACAATTAGAATTTTAGGGCATATTTATTACTTAAATAATTTATTAGTTTTATAATAAAGTTATTTATTTTAAGCTATATTATATTCTATAAAATAAAAAGCTTCCATATATAACCATAATTATATATATTTCCGATTTACTTATATTGCAAAATAAACAAATAATTTACTGTACAGTTTCTCTACCTTGAACATTTAAACGCATACCTCAATGAACTCGATGATAGTTCCCTCGCCGAATACACTCAACAGTTTTGGTGATAAACCAATTTCAGACAATATAACACTTATGGCCACAACGTGTTCGCACTGGTAATAGCCCTCAAAGGTTTGGTAGTCATTATACCGGACGACCACTTTATTATAGGGTGTGTCAATATTTTCGGGCAAAAAACAGTAAAATAGTTTATTCATAAAACCTTGGCTAAAGAAAAATGATAATAAAAGCACATGAACGTTATAAACAAAATGATAAAATGCACATTTTATTTTATTTATGCTATATTTAAACATATGTAAATAAAACTACATACGTATTATGGCGTATAATGAGCTCCTGTTCACTAACTTCGGCCCATTTGCCCGATAAATGTGTTTTGCATAAGTTATACACTTTATGCCGATCTTCGGCCGTCACAATACTATCCATAGTTTTTCACAATTTCTTGTTTTAATTTTAATACAATAATTAGCAATATTACTAAATATTTAGCCAAGTATTTCAATAATTAAACTTGGTTTACAATTAAATAATTTATTTTATATACACTTTACCAAATAGTGTACTCGTAAACACTTGAATAGACAGTGTATCTGTTGTTATAGAGTCTATAATATAGACGTTTGCATTTATTTTATCACAAGTTTTTGTAGATTACAAAACTTAATTATTTTGTAGCAATTTGTGGCTTCAAAAAGCAATATTTGTGTTTAATTCGTAGATAACAAAGTTATTAATAAAAAATCTTATATTTATTGTTAGTTCACATTCTTTGATTTACAATACAATAATAAAAATATATTTTCATTTATAATTGCCTCATGTTAGATGTAAAATTATTATGTGATTAGATATATGATTAAAAGTGCACATATTTTAACATGATTTATTATTTCACAAATCTGGATTTTTATATAGGTTTCAAATATAAACTGGGTAAGATAGCATAGAAAATTATAATAAGTTAAACTAACGATTTACTCTCATTTACTCTTCAAAGTATCCATGATCAATCATAGATTTTTTAAGTTTGTGATAAATTGTTAAACGTTTTTCTGCGCTTGGCTAAAAATTAAATACAATTTTTAATTAATTAATTAAATTCATATTAAAAACAAGAGCAATTAATAATTACCAAGGCATCAATATTACGTTTAACAAAGAGATATATGCAAAATTTTGCTTCAAATAAAAGTGTATTTAAAGCAAACACTTTGGACTCCTTTATAAGCCTTTGTCGTGAATTGATCTCCAATTGTGTAAAAGAGTTGCCATTAATTGCTGTCATTTCACGGATATAGGCGTCGATGAAGACCAGCATCTGGTCATCTGTTGGGAACTCTTCCCAATCATAGTCGGGCCACTTTTGACCCCAAGTGCCAAAATAATTACCCAAATCTATACCCCGATAGGTATACGAAGAGAAATCAAAATCAATTAAATAGATATCCATTTGTTGCGAGTTTTCATCATTTGTTTCGCGCATTAAAATATTTTTCCGATTGAAGTCATTGTGAGAAAAGACAATCGGACTCTTGAGGTCGACCACAATCTTCTTAAGCCATGACATCTCTGCCAACAGATCCAGTGTTAGAAGTGTCTCGTATTGATGTCTCTGTATTTCTTGATATACTAATCCCTCTTTGAGTGATTGCCTGATTGTGTCGTCAAACCAATTATTATCACCAAAATTACTGTTTAACCACATCTTTGTGTTGTC